AAAAAACGTCGTCGTTTTTTTTTTTTTTAGTTTTAAAGATAAGAATGTCGAGAAGTTTCTTATTGTCTTGAATGCCATTCACACACAACAAACACAGTACACGATGATCCTCAACCCACGTACAGTAGCGGCCCTATTCATGGAAATCGATGGCAATCCACTCAGCCTAATCAAAGACAAGGTCTTGTTCAAGGCGGCGGAGTCCGACTCCCCTTCGATTGACTCGGTGGATCCTCCTCCTCCGCAAACCCTAGGTTTCTTCGATAGGAGTTTCTCATCCGCCGCATCTGATTTGCGCAACCCTATTTCACAGCGATGGAATTAGGCCTTACATCGCCGCCTTCAATTTATGTAGTTTGTTTAAAAAAATTCGATTTTTTTTTTTGTGTGTCAGTTATTTCGGCATTTTCGGTCTCGATTTAGGATCTAGATTGTTTGATCCTCAGTCGTGATTGTTTTTTTTTGTGCTATTGGTGTGGTGTTCTTCTTCGAAGGTAATGGTGTTCGTCTTCGAAGGCAAGATATCTTACGTCTTTGCCTTAAACTGATTTTTACATAAATTTATTTTCTTCAGGATTTTTGAATTTGATTGTGTACATGTATGCAGATTGATGACGAGTTTATCAAGAGATGGGCAGACAGTGAATGGTACGAATAATTTCTTAGAAATCTGGTTCATATTAGTTTGAATTAAGAATTTCATTAAGAGCTATACTTAGCGTTGTGCACTTTATACGTTATATTGATCGAAAACCTTGTTAATCCTAATGATACTTGTAGGTTTAGCTATTAATTTACAGATGCAAAATAATGTTGTCTTTTATTTCAGGTCAAGGACCACTGTAGCTCATCTAGAACGTCTTAAAATTTTGCTTCAGGTTAGTGTTATTTTATCATGTTCGTATATTTGTACGCCATGTTTGACGGTTCTACCTTCTTTCATGTGCATTAGCTGTAAGCCTGTAACTTTCCTAAACCTTTTCAGTTTATTGCTCATTCCATGTTCTGATTTTGTGCTTTATTTATAATTATTTGACACATTCATTATTTTTTCCGCTGTGCGCATCGCTCATCGTCGTTTTATCTTTGGATAAAACGGTGTCGTTTGGTTGTGAAGGTCAATCTCACTCGATGAAATCAAGAAAACTCTAGATTCTTTTGGAGACATCTTTCTTTGATGTTGATGAAAGAGATGACCATTGCTTCCGACGTTCGCTCCTCATCCTCTCCCCTGTTGTGGCGCCCCACACGATGATGAAATTCAAGGACCACCACCACTCCCTACTCCTTCGTTCCCGATGGGCGCAACCCACAAAAAAGAGGAGTTGGTTAGCTCCATGAAAGAGGTTGCTCTCGCGGCCGCTCCTTCTGATTCTCCGAACTTGTCGTAACGAGGAGTTGGCCGGCGAGGCGGGAATAGATAGAAAGAGAGATAACTAGCTACAACGGGACGACGAAGGGACATACAAAGCGAGATTCGACGAGGCTAGGACATAGAGGGCGAGACACGGCGAGCCTCTAGCGGGAGCTTCCGCGCATAGGCCCAGGATAAATCTGGAGAGATATTAA